CCCCCCCCTTCCCCCCCCATCAGCCCCCATCACCCACCCCGGTCCTTCCTCTGCCTCCCGGCGCTGCGGGAGCCGGGCGGGAGCGGCGTCGGGCTGAGCCCGTCTAGTGCGGCCCGTCGGGGACCGCAGGGGTGTCGGCGCCCAGCGGGCCCCGCCAGGCCGCGGGGCCGGCCCGGGGACCCTGGCAGCCATTTGGTGGCGGCTCCGAAATGACGGCGGGAGCAGGGCCGGGCAACGGGTGCGGGAGCGGGAAGCCAGGGCCGGGCTCAGGAACGGGAAGCCAGGGCCCGGCTCAGGAGCTGGAGCCGGGCTGGGCCCGGGTGCGGGAGCCGGGCCCAGGAACGGGAGCTGGGCCCGGGCCCTGGAGCAGCAGCCGGGCCTGGTGCGGGAGCGGGGCCGGGCTCGGGTGCGGCTGACAGCGGCCTGCGGACGGGGCGAAGCTGCGGGGACACTCGCGGGGCCGCCCGGCGTTCCCGGCATCGTCGAACGGAGGCAGGAGCTCCCGGTCCCCTCCCCGGCAGCCCCTTGGGGAGCTGCGGCACCGGGAAGGCCGCAATGAGGTGCCTCCCGGCACGGGGAGAATCGCACCGGAGCCATGAATATTCCTAGTCTGGAATACTCACGGAGCTGTGCGTTAGGGTAATGGTGGAGGAGAGTCGTAGTGGGAGACAGGCCCTAGGACTGCACCCACCGTGTCATGTTTTTAGTGTCGTAAACAAAAAAAACACAACTGAGCAGGAAAAGCGTGTCCCGGTTCTGCTGATGCTCGAGGTGCACGGAGGGTTTCCAGTTAAGTGCAGGAGTCAGCACAAAGCACAGGAAGGGCAGCAGGGTGGTGGGAGAGTGATGAGTGTTCAGTTCATGCAGGGTTTGGAGGGGAATGGCATGGATCTGTCAAGAGAGAAAGTAATGACAGAGATTAGACAGGCAACCAGGGGAATTTCTGTCTAGGCCTGCTTCATTTCCATGCAAACTTAGAATTTTGTTTGGGTTTAATTGTAGTTCCTGTAGCTTCTCTTGCGGCTGTTCCCTCATGGTCATTATAGCTGCATCATAGTAATGAAACTAAAATTTAAAACAGTTCTTTGGATTATGAGGGTGTAAATTTGCTGTTATGGCAGACAAAAATCTAATTTCAAATGAGAAGCAACCAGTACAGTTGTAAATCTTCTGAATCAAAATACTATTCTTTGACGTTTGGTCTATCCTAAACATCTCTGGAAATAGTAGAAATTGAAGCATCTGTGTCTGGTATTAGTCCATGAAACACTGAAGTCTTAATTTTTGTAGTGAATCACTTTCCCAAGATCTTCATGCCTTTTTAGTGAACTTTTTCTTGTTCCTGCATTGTAAGCAAAACTTTCCCCAAGAAAAGGTGTTTTTATTAACTTGTATTTCTGTTTTGTTTGAGGTTGTGGCCATTTCTCTCAAAAATACTAAATTCTAACAAATTTTAGTATCAGTGCTTTAGGTATCCCAAAGTGAACTCCTGGTCTTGTGTGTTGATCTCATTTACCTAAGGATTTGTTGCTTTAAAATAGATAAAATATTTACAATATCCAGATGTTAATAGCTGATAGCACTTGTTAGGAGTATGTTGCATTTCATTTGGTGATATTTTATATACCCTTAATGGGATGAATGTACAGGGTCTCTCCTTGCTCACTGAACAGCCCTAAGGAAAGGAAAAAATTATATGTCCACAGGCATCTTAAGTCATTCTGTACAACCTTTAGAAAGGCTTTCCAGCTTCTATGGAGCTCTATGTTTTCTTGCCTACATCTCAGAATAGAATTGGTATTTCATTAAAATTGTTTATAAAAATATTAAAATACAGAATTTCTTATCTAAAAAAATTATAGTTTAGACATGGAGGTCATGTAAAAAAAAAAAAAAAAAAGCCTGGAGAACTAAACCATATATGGGAGTCCTTATTCAGGGAAAATATTACCAAAAAGTTAGGAGTTCTACACTGTATCTCTTCTTGGAGTAACTGTGTCAAAGTAGATCTGCTTAGAAATGGATCCCCTTTCTCTGCATTCGGAGAGAGTTAAACTGATTTGAGTGGCAAAAAAAAAATTCATTTATTTGCCCTTCAGTTGGTCCTGAAAAGTCAATACTGTTACAGAAGCCGAGTTGGTATCAGGCTGATGGCAAGGACAGGCTCTCCTTTCAGGGACACCTATGAAACAAAGGAAAACCCACGGTGGCATTACATAAGTATTTAGGAGACTTTTAAAATCTACTAACATGATTTGTGGTGGCAAGGGTTGAGCAGGGAGGAGCAGGTGTGAACTGCTGAGGATACACTGGTGTTAGTTTGGGGGGAGCTAACCCTGAATTGAGTGAACTTTGACAGTCACTGGGGGGAAATTTATATTGTACCCCTGTTGATAGGAATTACTCTTCAGCCACTTGATTTAAGGAGGCAGAGGTGATTCAAGCTCTGGCTTTTTAACCAGTTAACAAGAGAATCTCGTAGGTGTTTTGGCAAAACGCGGTCTGGGTACACCTAAATGTTGAGGTCTATGTTTAGGACACGGAAATGGAGTGAAGGTCTCAGGGAAGTTCAGGTTGGACATCGATAAAATGCTCTTCCCCCAGAGGGTGGCCAGGCACTGGAACAGCCTCCCCAGGGAAGTGGTTGTGGCACCAAGTCTGCCAAAGCTCTAGGAATGTGTGGTCAATGCTCCTGGACACATGGTGTAGTGCCAGATACTCTGCAAGAAACAGAGTTGGACACGATGTGCCTTCCCACTTGAGATTCTCTCTGATTCTTATGTGTCCAGGATTTCTATTGGTGACTTTTCTGGAACTTGAATTGAGCTGCAGATACTCACAACATGAACAGCATTACTGTTCAGTGAAGGAATTGTGTTGAAATACTATATTTAATGGTCATTAAAGACTTTACATATATAGAATTTTCACGTGATGTAAAGAGATTTGCATGTGACAGATATTATGGAGTGTAGAAATAAGCAAGTCTGCTCAGTAAAGAGGATTTATTTTAATTTCAAGCCATCATTGCTAAATGATGCAAAGCTGTTACGGGGATGCCCTTCCCTAAGCCTTTAATGAAGCCAGTTTTTTAGATCTATGGATGGTGGCTGTTGAAGAGAAATTAATAAAAGATTCCAGCCTTTCCAGAGAACACATTAATACTGATAATTATATTATGTGATATGTAAGTTTTTGACCCAGTCAGGATGCTTTCAGGAGCTACATAACTTAGGAAGGAAAGCTTGAAAAAGCTGCCTCCTTGTAGGGCAAACCAACCATTAATCTGCATAAATGAAAAACTTTAATGGAGATCACTTTAAAAAAGCAGAGGAAATACTGCAGTCAACATTAAGAGCAAGTCAATATCAAGGACTCTAATTTAGTGATTAAAAATCAATTGAATTCTAAGATTTAGGCTTGAATCCACAGTAGGATTGTAATTGAGCCTCGGTTGTGAAAATCCCGTATAATTTCACAAGTTTTGCAAGCATTTCATTCATCTGTAGAGAAGACTTCCCTTTGTTCAGCACTGACAGAATTATTCTATGTCTCATTCTCACCCAAGCTCTGCTTATTTGTCTTTGCTCATGGCCCACAAGAGACCTGATGGAGTCAGCCTGAGCCGAGCAGAGCTTACACTGTGGAGGAACTGAGTTTTAAGCCTTCAACTCTTTCTTTGCTAAGGGGTGAAACTTGCCTGTCTACATTTTGGCAACAGCCTAACAGAACTAAGCTTGGTTTGTTCAGGAAATCAGAGTTTAATTATATTTATCATGTCCAGAGGTTATTGAGTAAGCATAATGATTTAGAGTAGTTTCAGAGAATGGCTTGGGATTAGGTAGCTAAAATTTAAAATAAGATTATTAAGGGCATGTGAATCTTACAACTTCCATCATTTGTAAGTGGTACAGCTGTTTGAGAAAGTTAAAACCTCAAAACCTATTTCCCCTTCCACCCCACCTTGCAATTTCATCAGGTATTTTGGTCTAAAATGAGAAAATCAGTCAGTTATCATTGTTTTCATTGTCACTCTGATTCATTGCAGCCATTACTGCAACAGGAAGATACGAGCATTTTAAAAACACAAAATTACTCAGCTGTACTGGTTTTTATTATTATGTAATTTCTGAACTTAGGCTTGTACGTTTCTCAGTTTGTCATCTGAAGTATTGCTTCTGGTAGTAGTACTACAAAACTGATTATAACTTTACTGTGTAATGATCTTTTACGCAGCAGCTGCTGTGTTGTGCTGGCTGCTTCCTTGAATGTTTGGCTAGTTTCTGTGTCAGCCATTTCTTTGGGATTTTTTTTGCAGGGTGCTTCTACTTTGACAGGGAAGAGGAGCCCTGTGTTGTGTAGAGATAGGTAACACATCTGCCAGAATGATCAGGCCAAGGGTAGTTGTTCTAGTGGAGGGTACTGCCTGTCAAAAACAGAATCCAAAGGAGTTCTGGTTTACCTTTATTTTATTTTGCTCTCCTTGTGTTTGCTCAGTTTAGAGCGCAGGAGCGATTTGTTCTTCCAGAGGACATCCCTGAAATACATTGTTTCTGACAAGGAGCAAGAATCTATTAAACATTTGGCTTATGCTTTTTGTAGGAGTTGATATGGTAATTAGGAGATTTGAGACTGTTTTGCTACACACTGGGGTGCAAGAGTGGCAGAAGAGCTGGCAGGCTCAATAAAGTATGGAGATTCCTCCCTGTATGGCTGCTTGAAGTTTAGGGAGTCAAGAGCTTTTCCCAGATGTTTGCTAGCTTAATTAGATTTTTTTTCCTGTCAAAAAATCTGAAGGTCAACACATGCTTAGTAGAATCTGTCATTTGGGATGATTAAACACCCAGAGAGAGATCTTTAAAAATTGGTGGTGCACACTTGAAGAATCTGTTGTGTTCATTTCTATGCTGGTCAGGAAAACAACTGTATTTTAAAAGCTCATAAACAGAGAGGTGGTTTCTTGCAAGTCTCTGAAGCACTTGTGGAAACCAAATGAGGGTATTGTCTCAGAGCAGAGATCCCTGCATCTGAGATAATTAATGAGCAGTGTGGACATAGGGACTGTTTATTAGGAGCTCATTAGTGACATACCAGCAGTTGAGCTCTCTGTGTACCAGCCTCTTAAACTTTTCCCCATGTGAGTCATGACAGTCACATACTTCCCAGAGTGGTCTGGTTTGTGCTGTTACCTGTGTCTTGCAGTCAGAGAGGTGAAAAAGCACTATCAGCCCTAGGGCAGCAGTGATGTTGATGTTGGTATCTTAATGTTTCTGGTAGTGCTGCAAGAAGCTTTAAGGAAAGTATTTACAGACAGGCTTTGCAGTTCTGTGCATCTCTGTCCAGCTCTTTCAGAAGGGGAGCAGATGTGCTAAAGGAAATGGTGGGATTCTTAACAAAGGAATCAAAAATCTTTCTAGGCCTGTTGGGCCAGTGTTTGGCTTTATTCTTATTTGTTTTGTTTTTAAGTTTCCTTGGTTAAAAGACACATGTAGCAGTAGCATGGTAAAGATGGCTGGTTTTGTTCATCCGTGCTAGAGCTTTGATTGTGCTTTCATAGAAGCCAGAGGAAAGTCTGTTTGTCCAATACATGGGCACTTTCTGCCTTATGTTGGAAGTGTGACCTCAGCAGTTTGGTTTTGGGAGGTTCAACTTCCAGTTTGGTGCGTTTTACTATGGGAATTCATTTGAGGCAAAAATTGCTGCATAATATTGAAAAGCTCACTTGGATAAGGACAGCTTGTACAAGTATCCTGTTACTTAAAGGGCACTGAATGTTCATAGTACTAAATAGGATTTCTAAACAGATGGTCATAATTAACATAAAATACATTCACAGATAAGAGTCTGTTTGGTCTTCTAGTAATTCTTTCAATGGTCTGTAATGGTACTTTAGCATTAATTAAACCGTAGCACAGCCAACAATGAAACTGCAGCAAGGAGTTTCTGAATTTGAACACAGAGGGCAGATCTCAGCTTCCTCAGAGCAATCACCTTTTTTCTATCATCAGAGTAAAAAAATAGAATGCTAAACATATAATTAAAACATTTGTGCGTTTGCATTTGTAACAAGCTTGTTCTTAGCCTTGAAGTGACCGAACTGGTCTGTTGGTTGCCTAGAGAGCCAACACGGAGGCACATCACAGCCCAGGGTGGGGCTGTTCCCTCCGGGGTGGAGCTCTCAATGTAAATTGTGATTACAAAAGCGTGGATGAGAACGCTTTTGATGAACTTCTTAGACCGGGTACCTTTTTCAGGAATGTGACTTATATAAGATCCAAAACCAATCCCCATAAAGCTACATTTTCTTTGAAATACACTTATGTAAACAATTTACTTGTACTGCTGCACGAAAGAGATGTTTCAAGAGACAAGGAAGCCATCAGAAGTTATTGCTTGCCTTATCACAGGTTTTGTCCTAAATACCTGGATTTCACATACATCAAAGATTTTCTTGCTGTGAGTTCATGGACATAGTTATATGTAAGGTAGAAACATGAAAAGCAAAATTGCACACAGCAATTTCTCCCCCTGAGTGCTCCAGTTCTTGCAATAAATGGCGGAAGTAACAGGAGAATCATAAAACTAAAAACTTGTCTCTCAGTTTTTAGTGCTTCCTTATGGCTCTTGATATTTGTTAGTTGATTTGTATTTTACAGAAAGAGAAAATGTGTTTTTAAAAAAGCAAAGCTCGGTTTAGCTTGGTGTCTCAATAAGATCTGCAGAAGGAAGGTGTTCTACTTAATTTCAAATGAAAATAACATTTGAAATCACACCCCCCCAAAAAAATTAATTAATGCCATTTATTGTGAGTAAGTTAAACTTATGGTAGTCTGCATTAATTTAGTTCTTGAGCCTTTTTTGGTACAGTTGTTAAACTAACACAGAGTTGGGGTTTTTGACTACTTCGGCATAAAGATTTGTTTTATTCTTTGTAATATTGAAATTGTGGTCTGTCTTTTTAATTAAAAATTATTTTAAATTGCCAGAAAGCATGTTTTAAATACTCTGTTATTCACTTACAGCTGCCAAAACATAGTACAGTGAAATAATGGTCTGCTAGCCTGCTAAACAAGTGTCCAGCTTCCACAATGCCTGTGCAGGCAGCTCAGTGGACAGAATTTCTGTCCTGCCCAATCTGCTACAATGAATTTGATGAGAATGTGCACAAACCCATCAGCTTAGGCTGCTCTCACACCGTGTGCAAGACCTGCCTGAACAAGCTCCATCGCAAGGCATGTCCTTTTGACCAGACTGCCATCAACACAGACATCGATGTGCTTCCTGTGAACTTTGCACTCCTCCAGCTGGTTGGAGCCCAGGTATGCTTGAAGCAGCTCTTTGTTTTGCCACTTTGTGTTGTTGCCTTCTGTGTGCCAGCTGCAGTATGTGTGCTGCTCTTTCTTCCTCATTTTAGCCCAAAATAAATGGTAAGGCTTAACTGTGGCCTCTCTAGGAGTCCATACATAGTCTAAAAGCAACTGCACCATTTCAGCGCCATTTCTCATAAAATGAAAATGTGTTCTAATTGTAGCCTGAATTCTGATTTTAAAAGGCTCTTGAACTGTGACTGGAGAAAAATCCCCGTTGGGAAACAGACAATTATCTGTCCCAACTGTCAGTAGAATGAGTGAACCTGCAGACTGCACTCGTTCATCTTAGCCTTCTGAGAAATCTCATTCCTAAATGTCACATGTTTGGAAGTGGCTGTTTAACCAAGTTCCAGAAGTGTGTGTGTACAATTTTTTTTTTTTTCAAATATGCCTGATGATGGCTTTTCAGTTGCGTTTGCAGACACTGGCTAATCAGGCCAGGAATGTTCCCTGCGCTGTCTCGTAGCAGTGGCAAAACAGTGATTATATAATCAGTACTGCACTTTATGGAGACTAAATAAGTCTGTTCCCCTTATGCTGATTCATGTGCTTTTTCATGTTACTCTCTCTCTAACACCTTGGTGGAGGCAGTAAGATGTTATTTACTTCTCTTTTTAATGTCCTGCCACATGCCTTGACACAGCTATTGGTAATGACACTGTCAGAGTGGTTTTGTTTCTCAAGTTCACGTGTTCCTTTCATTTTTTTTTATGTATCAGATCACTGTCTTGATCTTACAACATTTATTTTCATGGTTTCCTAACTTCTTGCAATGTATTTAAAACAATTAATTTATTATGACTAGCATTCCCTCCATTTTCCTTATCTGACCTTGTTACTCTACTTCAAGTTTTTTTCCACCAAGTTAAGTTTCCTGCTTCTCTTGGAAGATTTCAGCATGCCCAAATGATGCTTAAATGATTTTTTAACTTTGCTTTATTATAGTCTCGCTAGTTCATTTTGTCCTATAGCTTCCTTTGTGTGTCAGTAGTAAATCATGCCGATCTGGTATACCGATCACCTCCTCAGATCTTGTGTTCTTCATCTTTTAGACGTTGGTTATTGTTTTCTACCCTACTTCTGTTTTTAAAGTGTTGAGTAATAACAAAAACCATCTTTCATCACCCTAATCCTCATCTTGGGCCCTTTTTGTTGTTCCTTATGCCATGTACTTGCCCTGGGTGGGTCCTGTGTTTCCATGCTCTCAGAGCAGTGCACATCTGCAGTGTTACGTAATTAATGGTGGTGTGGGTACCATCGGGGAGGTCAGCCAGGTGTACGTAATTCTTCTCCCCCTTTCTCCCCCTTGCATTTTTTTAGGTACCTGATCATCAGACAGTAAAGTTGAGTAATGTAGGCGAGAACAAACATTATGAAGTAGCAAAGAAATGTGTTGAGGATTTGGCACTCTACTTAAAGCCATTAAGTGGAGGAAAAGGTGAGTCTCTGCTGAACAGTGGAATTTTGATGTAGCTTGCTTTTAACAGCTTTGTGTTTTCAGCACTGATTGTAAATGTCAGTGAGATAATACTCTCATTTTTGTAATAAAATTGCCTTGTGTCTCTTAAAGCTTATTCACACTTGTGACACTTGTTTGTGGTTTTTTAAGTTTACAAAATACTCTATTTAATAATACTGCCTTGGGGCTAACTTTGTACTAAAGCTGAACTTTCCCCAAAGGATGGCTTTGATGTCAGTTTAAGATTTTAATTAAAGTTATTTTTGATAAAGAATCACACAGAGCTGCCTAAAAGAAGGGAAGACACCTGTGACTGGTATCCAAGTCCTAGAGAAAGATATATACTGTTAAACAGACTTTTTTTTGTCTCACTTGGATGAATTTGATGAGAAGCACTGCTTTTTCTCCCTTTCTCTGAAGGTGTTGCAAGCTTGAATCAGAGTGCACTGAGCCGTCCCATGCAGAGGAAGCTTGTGACACTGGTAAATTGTCAGCTGGTGGAGGAGGAGGGTCGGGTCAGAGCCATGAGGGCAGCTCGGTCGCTGGGAGAGAGAACTGTCACAGAACTCATCCTGCAACACCAAAATCCTCAGCAGCTTTCTGCCAATCTCTGGGCTGCTGTCAGGGCACGAGGGTGCCAGTTTCTAGGACCAGGTGAGGGACCCGGACACCTGCATCAGAATTTATTTAGCAGTACCTTTTCTTTACAGAAGTGTTTTGAAATTTCTTCTGTTCAGTTGAAGATGTTCTGTGAGGAAGAAAGGAGAAGGGGGAGGAAAAAAAGCCCCAAATAGCAGAAAAATCTTCTGGCTTAAAGTTCTTGGTTGTTTCCTCTGCCACTCCATTAAATGTTCTTTGAAATTGGGAGGAAGTATTTCAAATATCCTGGCAAAGAGGAGTCAGTAAGCACACGCTGTGCACAGTTTGTAATGGAGTGTAGCAGGCTGGCTGTCCTGCTGCCTGTGATTGGAATTGAATAGCTGTCTATACAATCAGCCTAACCTCAGATGTACATACTTTTGAAATTTATAATGATTCATATCTCTGATAGAAACTCATAGTTAACAATGCAGCTAAAGCAAGCACAGAAACAAGAAAATTCTCTCTAAAACAGAAGTTGTCCTCTCTTGATTCTGGTAACTGCTGGTAGCATTCCAGTACTGTTCCCATATTTATTTTATAGTTTCATGGTGTGTCACAGATGAGGTGTCCAAAAGGACAACGGCTACAAGACTGCACAGTAGAGAAAAGTATAAAAACTGCACTACTGATGTGTTTATTACTGGAAGTTAGTCTTGGCTCTAAGTATTTCTTCTAAACTAACAACTTTCTTTAAAAGCTTCTTTTTTAGTAAAATAAAAACCAGTAAGGAATTACATTCAAGATTATCTAGATGCTTCTGCTTATCTGTTCAAACACAGTAGCCTTGCTGTTTTCTGGAATATATTTAACTTTCATTTTTGTGTGTTAAAGCTATGCAAGAGGAGGCACTGAAACTTGTATTACTGGCACTGGAAGATGGCTCTGCACTCTCAAGAAAAGTTCTGGTACTTTTTGTTGTGCAAAGGCTGGAACCAAGATTTCCTCAGGCCTCTAAAACAAGCATTGGTCATGTTGTGCAGCTACTGTATAGAGCATCATGCTTTAAGGTAAAACACCTCAATTGTGGTTTATGCTGTGCTGCTGTTTATTATGATGCATGTGGAGATTTTTGGTTAAAGAAGGAATGTTTAACTATTACTGTTTATTAGGTCACTAAAAGAGATGAAGATTCTTCTCTGATGCAACTTAAAGAAGAGTTCCGGAGTTACGAGGCTTTGCGGAGAGAGCATGATGCCCAAATTGTTCACATTGCCATGGAAGCAGGACTTAGAATATCACCAGAACAGTGGTCTTCTCTTCTTTATGGAGACCTGGCACATAAATCACACATGCAATCCATTATTGACAAGGTTTGTCAAAAGGATGATTTTAGTATCTCTGTAGGATTAGATTTGACTCTAAAACATTACAATAAAAATCAAAGAACTTAATGAATTAACTTTTTGTTCATAATCCTATCAAATATTAATTAAAACTAGATAGAATTTTTTTCCCCTGATGTAGCATATTCATCATATGAAGTACTTTAATTAACTTTTTGGTGTCTTATGATGAAGCTTCATAGGGCAGATTCTGAGTTGAGAAATAAAATTTCTCTCCACTGATCCTCTCTATATGCCATCTGAAGACACTGTATATTGCATTTAGAAACCAATGTCATTAATATCTTTTTAAGATTAGTAACTGTCAGTTGTAAGATGCAGCACACTAATGCTTCCTTTATTTTCAGCTTCAATCTCCAGAATCTTTTGCTAAGAGTGTACAAGAATTGACAATTGTCTTGCAGCGGACGGGGGATCCTGCAAACTTAAACAGGCTTAGGCCTCATTTAGAACTCCTGGCAAACATAGATCCAAATCCAGGTATGCAAATCAAGCTTTTTTTAAGCTTTTCTTGGTATTCTTCATATCTAGCAAAGTAAATTATTAAGATGCTAATCTCCAGTCCTGCTTTTGAAATTCCAGTTGATGAACATAATAAACTCTTCTTCAGGGCTCTCTGAGTCCTGTGCCAGTACTTGGTATTGTAAAGTAATACAAGATATGCCTCTTATTTATGATACTGGAATTACTGACAGGGTGAAAATCCTGCTTTTCATAATTTTAGATGCAGCATCTCCAACATGGGAGCAGCTGGAAAATGCAATGGTTGCTGTAAAGACTGTGGTCCATGGGCTGGTGGATTTCATTCAGAATTACAGTAGAAAAGGCCATGAAACTCCACAGGTAACCAGACTTGATCATTGCATTATGTCTTAATGTACATTTACTGAGAGATGCAACTTTGAAAAATTACTGTTGATTTGAAATACTTACAGCATTTCCTGTGGGATAATTGATGATACTGTTATTTACTGCATTCAGATTTTGAGAACCTAACATTTGTGAATATGAAATGCAGACGAGCTGGCCATAGTGAAATCCACACAAGGACAATTTAGCCTGTAAACAAGGAGTGTCCTTGTTTTTCTGATTAAGAATATAAAATGTAAAAATGTACCATGGTTGTATTTTCTGTATTTTAAGCCTACTTTTATGTGAATATCTTGTGGTTTTTGTTGTTCTTTTTTAGCCACAACCAAATAGCAAATACAAAACAAGTATGTGCCGTGACCTTCGACAGCAAGGGGGGTGTCCAAGAGGAACGAATTGTACATTTGCTCATTCTCAGGAAGAGCTTGAAAAGTGAGTGTGGGAGACTTTTTTCCTTTTTTGTCCTCCTTTTAATTTAAATCCAAGCAATCTACAGAGATTTTTGAAAATAGTCTCTTCCATACGTTCGCTCATTTGGAGGGGTTTGTGACTCTTAACATGACAATTCTTTATATGAAATTGAAGATACAGCAAAGCAATGTCTGCAGACTAATTCCAGTTTTATTTTTTTATTTTACCCCATACAAGGTAAAATCTTCTTTCCTGAAACTGAGTCTAAACTCAGTGTCTTTCAGAGATTGGTTATGTTGCCTGCAAGAGAGAATGTTAATTACATTTTAATTGATTAAGGAGTGAACTGAGTATTTAAACAGTATGTAGCTCTGCATTCTTGAAGCTGTTTTCACCCAAATGCATTTTCAAAGAACTGCAGAATGGGTCTTTTAAGAGGAGAGATCATTTTGGGTTCCAATTGTTGAAAATAAGTTTGTAGTTTTTTTGGTGTCATGTTCCTCTCAATCCCTTCTTTTTGCTAGCTTTACAAATCCATTAAACTTCACAATAAGCACTTTTTATACCATCTTTTAATCTGTGTGTTTGCACATGTTTGTTTGTAGATATCGCTTGAGGAACAAAAAAATCAGCGCAACAGTGAGAACATTCCCCCTTCTAAATAAAGTTGGCGTAAACAGCACCGTCTCAACCACAACAGGAAACGTGATCTCTGTCATAGGAAGCCCTGAGGCAACGGGCAAGATGGTGCCAAGTACTAATGGAATAGCAAATCTAGAAACTGGGGTTCCCCAGCTGATCCCCCGCTGTGCAGACACCTCCCTGAGAGCTCTGGAGAACACCAAGAAGGGAGGGAAGACTGGAGCCAATGGACAGAACGCTTCTGGGTCCCCTACAGAATCACTTCCTGAAAAGTAGGTGACTTCTTTACATCAAGACAATATAACAGAACATTGTGCTTTTAGATTATCTAAAATAATAAATGGGGTTTGTGGGTGGCCAACAGAGAATGTGGTCGTGGCCTGCAGTAATTGCTGGTGCTCTGTGGTTGCAGAGCTGTGTAAGGTCTTGCACTGCAGTGCAGGTACAGTCACACAAAGCTTGTGAGTTCAGGGTGTCAGAACCCATTGTTTAGCTGTGCATTGTAGACAAAATGGTAAAGCTCTTCATTTATCTGTTACTCAGTTGTTCTCAGCCTGGTATCTTAGTTACTGTTGGGTTATTACATAAAAAGTTATGGCATACAAATAAATTATATATGCATTACATACTGTTGGGTTATTACATACAAGGATATTATTGCATGCAATGAATTGTACTCAAAATTTGGCATTTCCTAAAACCAGGAATGATGCACAGAGTGTGCACTTCCTTGAAACCTTCTAGTTTTGGAGTTTTCACTTAAAATTTCTTTTATAATTCTACAGGAAGCACTGAGTCTCTAAACAGCTTTTCAAAGCCTTTGTCTTTACCAGAATACATTTACAAAGGGTATCAAAACATTTATGCCCACTTTTGACTTCTCCTAAGAAAAAAGTCTAAAATGAAACATCAGTATGGGGTATGAAAAACAGAATTCCAGAGGCAATGACAAGGCCCAGATTTCCATGTTACGAGGGAGTATGCACAAAGAAGTGACTGACTGAAATAAGTGAAGATCTGCTTAATGATTTCTTGGTAATCCTTTTCAGTAAAATTGGTTCTCCACCCAAGACTCCTGTAAGCCAGGCAGCAGCTACCTCAGCTGGTCCTCCTAATATTGGAACAGAAGTTAATTCTGTGCCTCCAAAATCCAGCCCGTTTGTTCCCAGAGTACCTGTCTACCCTCCACATTCTGATAATGTTCAATATTTCCAAGATCCCAGGACTCAGCTGTCATATGAAGTTCCACAGTACCCACAGACAGGTGAGTGAGATGAGCATTGATTAAAAAACAGCTCTGAACTTTTCTCTAGAAAAATAACTTTTATGAGAGATAACTTTTATGTCTGTTTTGTGGATGGCTATTTTATTTTCATTAAATATCAGCTGAATCTTCACTTAATGGAATACTAATCTTGTTAATTGCTGGGTGTGTGAGGGACATGCAGTTTGCTCCCGGTGTTGGTGGTTCTTGCCTTTGTGTATGTTATGCAGCTTATACTTTGGCCTCCAGAAGAACTTGAACCTCAAGGTCTTTCATCTACTTTTTCCTTTGTTAGCATTTAATTGTTTTTATTTAGGCTTGCTCTTGCCATGGCCTATGCATAAGGGTATCCATGGGCAGGATTTCAGAGGAATAGCATGCTTCTGCTGGGAGGCCTACACATCTTTGTGCTTGCTCAAATGTTTTTGGAAAGTTCCAGTTATCTTTTTTAGGTTGCACTGTGCATGTTTATATTCAGGCAAACAATTGTGGTTTACAGCACTGAGTTATTCACAAGCTTTCAAAAGGTAGAAGTGTTCAGGCAATCCTCTCAAAAGAAAGAACAATAAGTCAAATGTGAAATGGTTATTTATAGACTTTTTACTTTTTAGCAATATCGATTTTTATTTTAGAGAGAACTGTTTTAACTTCCTATATAAAGAACCGCTGAAGAGCCTGTGTTTTCAGTTCCATAGTTATGCCACAGTACATAGGAGCAATATTTTCCAAACTGGGTCCAGTTGGTGAAGGGCCAGCACTGCATCTGTAAATGTGGTTGTCATACATGAAATGATATTTACAGAAAGATGATAGAGATTTGTAAAGTTTGATTCCTCATTCTCTAAAGGTACTTATCAATGCTATTTACAGTTTTAGAAGGTGTAAAATTTTGGGTCATTTGTGGTTGTATTAAATACACCTTTTTCTGATTTTTAAGGGTATTATCCAGCACCTCCAACAGTACCAGCTGGTGTGGCTCCCTGTGTTCCTCGCTTTGTGAGGTCCAATAACGTTCCAGAATCCTCCCTCCCACCTGCTTCCGTGCCATATGCAGATCATTACAGTACATTTCCCCCTCGAGATCGACTGAATTCTCCCTACCAGCCTCCTCCTCCGCAGCCGTATGGACCAGTCCCTCCTGTCCCCTCTGGAATGTACGCTCCAGTTTATGACAGCAGGCGCATCTGGCGCCCACAGATGTACCCACGAGATGATATTATTAGGAGCAATTCTTTACCTCCCATGGATGTGATGCACTCATCTGTCTATCAGCCATCATTACGGGAGAGGTACAACTCTCTGGATGGGTATTACTCTGTGGCTTGTCAACCTCCAAACGAGCAGAGGACTGTGCCTTTACCAAGGGTAAGTGAGAGCCCGGAAGGGAAGGCTCTATGCAGAGCTGGTTCTGAAGGTCATTATGGGAAAGTTGGTAAATAATTAGCATAGACCTGTTTATTACAGTGATAGAGACATGTGACTTGGACAAAGTTCTTGTTTTGTTTTTAACCTTAAAATGGGCTTGCAAAACAGACCACTGTAGTCTGCATCAGGACTAGAGCCCCTTTGCCTCTAATGCCCATATGTGTTGCTTGAATTAATTGCATCTCTGAGTTGCTATACATGGGCCTACAAAACCTTGTGAAATTCTTCAAGTGGTATCAGTGGAGGGTTACAGACCACCTTAGGAGATTTGGGGATCCAAATATGTCCCGTGCAAGTATTTGCCTTCTGATTAGTGTGATGGGATTATCCAGTCCTGTATTTATTCTTTCTAGGAGCCTTGTGGTCATTTGAAGACTGGTTATGATGAGCAGCTGAGACGGAAGCCAGAGCAATGGGCACAGTACCACACACAGAAAACACCTCTGGTATCGTCAACCCTTCCTATGGCAACACCATCTCCAACACCACCTTCTCCTCTCTTCAGTGTAGATTTCAGCACAGAGGTGGGAAGCCAGAGAACTACTTTATTTTCCCTTCCTGCTTCTGTAAGATGCCATTTAATATTTCTAGTAAAGATTTTCTACCTACCATTTATTGTTCATAAAATTAAATTAATCTTCTAGCAAAAGGAAAGTGATATCTAATAATGATGCAATTCAGTTTGATATTAAGGTGATGCTAAACATGACTGCCAAGAAGTGAAATGATTCAATTCAGCCTCACTAAATTAAATGTAATTTTATTGAACTGCTTTGTGAACCTCCAGGTTTTTATGTAGGGAGCAACAGTTGTGTTTTCCATTAAGAAGTACATTGCCTTTGATACTCCAAATGGCTTTGATTTGATGAGTAGCCTGAATCAAACTTCAAGTGCTTATCAAGTCCCAAAGAATAAATTCCCGTAGAAGTGGCAAAAGGCATTGTTAGGACATTGTGTACTTCTGTGATAAGTCCAGTAAAGAAGAAGAGGAACTCAAGAAATAGCAATAGTGAAGGAAATGTTTTTTGAAGGAAAAAAACATTAAAACATTTTATTCTGTCTCTCTGAATTAGATGCATCCAAAAAACTAGTTTGAAAACCACTGTGCCAAGCACACTTAGCTGTGGTTTGACAGTTTTGCTGGTGATATTTGAGATGTTAAGAATGACTATTCAGATCAGATCTTGTAGGTGTACCTCAAGTGCCTTATGCATGCATTCAAGGTGGATCAGGATTTAGTCATTTTCACCCAGGTTAGAGGGTTGTATTTCTGTTTACCTCTGGCTAACACATTAAATGAAAATACATGGCTTCCTCTCAGTTAAGTTACTGTAGATATGTGCCTGTAGAAACCGGACACTAACACAGATTCCAGTCTCTCATCTTGGCAGGCCAGGCAGTTATTTGTATGGCAGAGTTTGCCCTCTGACAGCTGCCAGGGGCACTGGTTTAAAATTTGACAAAACAGCTTATGTTGTCCCCAAGTCAAGTCTTGAATATGCTGGAACTTCTTGATTGACTTTGAGATACATTTACTGATATTTAATTAAATTATCTTCTCATTTTAAAACTGAATTCCCTGTTTTTATTATTCACTGCTTATTTATTCCCTTTTCTGTAGTTCTCAGAGAGTGTCAGTGATTTGAGTGGAACTAAATTTGAGGAAGACCATCTCTCTCACTATTCACCGTGGTCTTGTGGCACTATTGGCTCTTGTATAAATGCTATCGACTCAGAGCCCAAGGATGTGATTGCCAATTCCAATGCCGTGTTAATGGTAGGGGTTTTCTGCATATTCTCTCATTAGTGTGATGATTCTTACGTGCTGAAGTGTCTTCTGTTTGATTAAACCAGCCTTTTTTTTAAAAAAATAATAAAAAATAAGGTGATAGCTTCCATTATTAGTATTTTAAAGTAGTTCTGCTCATTTGAAGTTGTTTGGAATATCCTTTCCCAGTTTTGTAAATAGGCAACAATAATGAGAAAGTTACTGGCCAGCTGAAGAATGTGCATAACCTCAAATGAGTCCATGTATCTTGTGTCTCCTAAATATGTAGGATTTGGACAGTGGGGATGTTAAAAGGAGAGTGCATTTATTTGAAACGCAGAGAAGGGCGAAGGAAGAAGATCCTATAATCCCGTTTAGTGATGGACCCATCATCTCCAAGTGGGGTGCAATCTCCAGGTCATCCCGCACAGGTTATCACACAACAGATCCAATCCAGGCCACTGCTTCCCAAGGAAGTGCTACTAAGCCCATCAGTGTATCAGGTACAAGTTCAGGCTTTGTGTGATAAGAATTCATCATTTATAAACAACGTGAGCATTTCATCCTCTTTGTGCTTACCACAGCTGTGAAATGCCAAGAGCTAAAGAACGTGTATATCCCACTGAAGAGAAGATAGTGAATGCTATCTTAATTCTTTTGCAGATTATGTCCCTTATGTCAATGCTGTAGACTCAAGATGGAGTGCCTATGGCTCAGATTCTGCCTCCTCAGCACGTTATGCAGAACGGTACGGACTCCTTCCCAAGCTCTGCTCACAGCTTTTTCTGTAGCTTGCAGTTCTTCAAAGTCCTCAGTGTGTGTGTGGGGAATCTGCAGTGTCTATTAATAGACATTCTTAATTTTAAAGTAAAAGACTTTTTACCTATCCAGCATAAAGCTTTGGAAAAAACTAGGTTAAAGCTTGTGTAGTTTTTAATACTTAATGCAGATAATAGTGCACAATTACTAGCAGTGTATCCCTTGAGAGACCTATCAAAGAACTGGAGTCAGGTACTGCCAAGTTGTCATGTCAAAATCTTGAGCAGTTTTAGATTTTCTTGCCATACCTTACCCATGTGTAAAATAAGGATGTTTGCTTCATATAATGCCTTAAGTATTTTGAGCCACAGTGAAGATGAACACATTGTCTAAATCACATCTAGTTTCTGTCCAAAAATCTAACATTGATAGACTAATGAAGTTATGGGATGTTTGATTTAGAGAACTTGTTTTTAATTCCAGTTTTGCCTTCTTTCTTTTAAAGGGACAGGTTTATAGTCACAGATTTGTCTGGTCACAGAAAGCATTCCAGCACTGGAGATCTACTGAGTATTGAATTACAGCAGGTAAGACTAGTTATTATACCATGAGGGTTTTTAAATTTAAAATAAACTGTTTAGTTTAGTGCTTTTAAATAAATTTTCTTAGTGTAGCTGTCTGAATGCACATGGCTGAGGTTTAATGTTTGGTAACTGTTTCTTTCCAAAGGCCAAAAGCAACTCCTTACTCCTTCAGAGAGAGGCAAATGCACTCGCCATGCAGCAGAAGTGGAATTCTCTAGATGAAGGCAGTCGTCTTACCTTAAACCTTTTAAGCAAGGAAATTGATTTGAGGAATGGTGAGGTAAAGAAAGGGGTAATTGGGATGAAACAAATCTTGGAGGGTGTTTATATATATACAGAAGCACATGAATTTTAACTAAGAATTGAAACTTGGTTTTAACACTCACAAATATTTGTAGCACATTCTGTGCAAGTTGAGTCGCTGTTGTTGCACTCAGTTATTTCCCTGAGATAAGGCAGGTGCACCTGCTGTGCTGCTGCTCTGAACATGCATTTACAAAGTGGGAAGAGTGTGATAATCATTTTCATGCAACCATTAGTTTTTGTCTATTTGTATGTGTTATAAATCTAAGCATTTTGTCAATGGACTCAAATTTCTTTAGTATTCATTTTATCACTCTGTTTCAGTACTTTATTGTGATTCAATTTAGCCTTGTTGTCTGTTCCTGAAGTTCATTTTTGTCTGACTAGCTCTCTTGTATTGTAGAAATGTTGTGTGCTAAGAATGCATCTTATGTTTTCACTTTAATACTCTAGTGTTGTGTGAAGCCAGTGAAAAGCCAACTTGATACTTAGAGAATATATTAATTCTTTTTTAGACTGATTATCCTGAAGACTGTGCAGACACAAAGCCAGACCGAGACATTGAATTGGAGCTGTCAGCCCTCGATACAGACGAACCTGATGGGCAAGGTGAACAGATAGAAGTGAGTACAAAAATCTGTGTGTCTGAAGAGGTCACTGGGTTTTCTCATTAGTCTTTATAGTTTAGTATGTTGATAGCAAAGCTTTTTGGTTTTAATCCTAGTAATGACATCCAGCATTTCCCTTATTACTTATCACTTGGGGTCTTATACTTCTCACTAAGATACCTGGCAGTTAATACTAAGGAAGTTGAAAACAGCTCACAGTTCATACTATTCTTGTCATTCACAGCCAACTTTGAATAATTGGCTTTTCCTTTAGTGAAATGAAGTAGACATTCCAATAGTATGACATCAAATTAAGGAGTGTTATGACCAGACTCCCGTTTCCATTAGCATAATGTAGTGGAACTTAATAGGAAAACTTAAAGCTGGTAGGGACAGAGTTGATGGGCATTTCTCCTTTTCTCTTATAGGAGATTCTGGACATACAGCTAGGGATTAGCTCCCAAGAGGATCAGCTGCTCAATGGAACAACCGTAGAGAATGGGCATCTGCTAAAGCAGCACCAGAAAGAATCTATGGAACAGAAGAGACAAAGTTTAGGTGAAGACCTTGTGATTCTGTGAGTGTTAGACAAAACAGCAGTGTCTGCCAGTGTTAGACAAACAGAAGCATCAGAATAGTGGAAACATGGTTGTATAAGGATGAACTACGTACCTGCTCAGACTTGGATTAGACATCTGCATTGTTTGTACATGGTGGAGTGAGAAGTACCTGTTAGGAAATAGAATTAGGCCACAAAGCTGAAAGTCCCAGGCTGGTACCATTGTCCGTATGCATCGTTGTAATCGTACACACTGAAATGTGTCACAGCTGTTCAAAATACCTTTCACAGTCAGTAAGCAAAAAATGCAGAATATTTTTATAGTTAACAGAAATTAAGAAAAACTTCAAAAGGTTAAATGGCGGACTGTTTGCACAAATCTCCGTGGAGAGGTAGATTTTGAAATACACTATTTTAGGTTTATATGTTCTGTAGTCTTTAATGAGCAAAGCAGCCTTTGAAAATGAGGCAGACTACTTTAACATCTCGAGCATACCATTCCAGAGGAAGATGTTTAGCCTGTTGCTAAAAATGAGTTTGTCAGTATTTATTTAATGCACACAATTCAGTTCCGGATACTTGTGCATGTCCTTGTTTAATATTTGTGTAACTTATTTTTCTCCTCAGGGAGGAGCAGAAAACAATCCTGCCCGTAACTTCTTGCTTCAGTCAGCCGATCACAACATCTGTTAGCAATGCAAGCTGCCTGCCCATCAGCACATCAGTCAGTGTTGGCAGCCTCATTTTGAAAACTGCTCACATTATGTCTGAGGATAAAAATGACTTTTTAAAGCCTGTTGCAAATGGCAGGATGGTTAACAGCTGAAAGGCATTCATCTTTCCAGCTTGTGACCACACCATGGAAGCATTTACACTAGCTTTTTATATATATAATATATATTATATAATGTATATTTTTTTTAAAAAAAATAATATTGGGGTCATGCATTTCCTGTGGACTCTTTGATACTTCAAGCCCCTCTCGCATTAGCATTCTGAAGAAAAAAAAAACTTACTTTAGTAGGGTAAGGCGTTCACTTTCCACAAATGAATGGAATTTGGACATTGTTTTACTTAAGCTTAAAGCAGCTTTTTATGAGTTTGTAGCAATCCGGTGCGGTATCTGAGCCATTCTTGTTGAAAATGGCTTCTGTAGAAAACTAACAACTCAGTTATTTAAACTAGCAGGATCCTACAATGATACATCTAGTGAAAGGAAGACTAACTTATTTGTCTCTATTTTGTTTCACGAGAGAAGAACTTTTGTCTTGTTGCAGCTGCTTTTTCTTTAGTTGTGGAACTTTGCATGGAGTCTTGTTTCCTGTTGGAAGACTGAGAGGTGGAGATTTGGACTTGAGGCTTTTACAGGGTTTACACACCATTAGCTTTGCACTGCGTTATTTGCAGGTCTGTGGGGCAGTGCTTTGCTGCAGCTTTTGGTTTCCATTCCCCCCAGTTTATGCTTTAGTACTGTAGATACACATACACAGGCTACTTGTCCAAGTAAAGTTATCAGAAGTAAATCAAGTGCCTAAGTCCTCCAGCTAATGTGCTAGGTATTGATTTCCCCAAGCTATACATGAAACAATTTTCAACGATTTTGAGAGGTTATGCACTAATGTAAAAGCAATTTTAGGTTTTTTCCTTCTTTTTCTTTTCTTTTCATTAATAGTTCTCAACTTGGAGATTATAGGATCCAGATGACTTGGCAAAAAGTATCAGGTGCTCTTGGCTTTCCTTTGAAAACCCTGTATCTAGTGTTTGCACTGACTAACAAGATGGTATTGCTGTTTTTTGTACTGTTTTGTTTTAATTTAAACTAAATATTGGGAATTTAAGGTAGTTGTAATTACCTTTGTTAAATGTTGTTAATCATAATCTTGTATTCAGGTTTAATTTCTGTTTATTCAGTGGCAACTTATTTTCAAAGACCTTGAAAATACAATGAGATAGCATTATCTGACCTTCAGAGTGCTGAAAACTGTATGAATTTATGCCCTGCTAAGAGGTGACTGAGAATCATGTTAGACATGTCAACTGAAAATTGGTTTTCATAAATACACGTGAACTAGAGCCCTGGGCATATTTTTTGAGAAGCTTAAAAATTCACTTTTTTTTTTCTTTTAAGAAAGCAGGACTCTCCCTCCTGATGATTACTATCTTCTTGTTTGTCCTCTTACTTTTCTTTGTGACAAGTTTTACATTTTTTTATGTTTTTATTAACTTCTGTGAAGTTGTTTACTCTGAAAATTGTACTGGAATATTTTAAGCCAAGCTGATCTTTCACCAGGTGTACTGCATGTAAGGGCTTTTCCTGCTAGCAAAATGCTTAAAGAGGATCATGTTACTGGTCGTCTGAGTTGTTATTTTACAAAATCACAGCTATGTGGTCGGGTAAGATTTTGATAACTGTTTTGTGCACGCTTCTGGGGGGTGGGGGTTGGCATTTCCCTGAGGGTTATTGATTAGACTAAGTAAATATTGGTGTTTGATATCTCTCCTAACGAACCTGTCCATGAAATAATTATGTTGTAAATATACCTGCAAATCCAAGGGTTAGTTTTGATATTCTGGTGTCAGTATGGAAGATCTTACACATCTATTTAATACTCCAATGTCAAGGAATGTATGTAGAAAAACAGTCAAGTAGTCTTTTCTTAGTTTCCTTTGGCTGTTGCTGTACCTTCTCCAGCCAGTGCCACCTCACTCTAGGGTTAGACTGACGCTTCTTTCACTCGCTACGTGAAGTGAATGGATACAAGAACCAGACCACCTTTGTCACCTTAACTTATTTCCTATTGATGTTAACTTTAACTTAGAATGTTAGACATAAATATGATTGTTGTATATTTTATACCAAGACCATTCTGTAAATATGAATTTATATTACTTTTGAAATGCTTCTGAGATACTATTATTTGCTGTACAATGTAATTCCAAAACAGATATGCAAACAAGTATGTCTCTTTCATGGATATTTAAACAGTGAGATCTTCCATGTTGAAGGTGATGTAATTTTTTTAAAAGATTTTTAAATTTTAAATTGCTATTTTGTTACAAAAATAGAGAAAATATAAAGGTTTGAGAAGTCCTTATTTGCCCTCAGGGAAAGAGCCCTCTGTGCACCAGAACTCCACAGAACATCTTCAGCATGATCTGAGGGTGAATATATACTACATAAATTGATTGTGTATTTACCTTAACTTTTTAATTTTAAAATGGCAATTTTAAAAACTTGGTTGTGCTCTGCTGGAGGGGGTTGGGATAAGCTGCTTACACACATTTGCCTGTTTGTCCAGTGAAATGACATAAGCCTGACATATTCCTGCCAAGGTCTTGGCATATTTAAGAACAAACGTATCTCAAGACTCTTGTCTGCAGCAGGAGATCCTGTGATAGAGCAGTTCTCCAGGATGACCATACACTTCATATGGAAAGTTGGTTCTCAACCAAGGCTAGAGTCTTCTAGTTGAATTTTTAACCTATAATGACAGGCAAAAGAATTATCTGGGGGTTTAACAGCATGCCGGCTGTGTGGTTTTTGCCATGAAACTAATGCCCTCCAGTGCCCTGACAGGAAGAAGAAGCTGCAGGTGGAAACACCTGGCTCTGGCTTCCTTCTTTGTTCAAGTTTCAGCCCTTGACCCTTTACAAACAAGTATGTATTCATTTGTTAGTTGTAAATCAGGTGCCTTTGGGCTATGGGAGGGCTTATTTTCTGACACTGAGAGAGTGACTTACCTTTGTGTGTCAATAGCAGTGATGCCCATTTAGGTTTTGGCCTAATTTACTGTGCTGTCAGAAAAGAAGGCCCGGAGCAGATCGGGGAAAGAGATTGGCTCTTTTGCTTTGCTTGGACAAGCATTTTGAGTTGGTTTGGTTTGGTTAATTTTTTTTTTTTTTAAATTTTTTTTTCCCCCATTAGGGGTACAGCAGGGATTTCACATGCAAGAGAGACAGGAATTATTAGTATCTAAGTTAATTGTGTTGCCTCACTACCTGGATTCATTCCTTGGTTTGCCTCATTTCCCACATAGGTCTTTATAGAGACTAATGCTTGTGCTGGGAGAATGCTTGTGTGAGAAAATAACTATCTGTACATTCTTAACATATACTTAGAGCAGAGTGATTGCCCTGCTACTGATATTTTGTTCCTGTAAACAGGTGACAAGAAATGAATCTTAGTGTTTATGCAGATTTTGCATTGTAGAATGTATACTAGACCCTTCAAAGGCAAGGTTAGACTCTTTGCAAAGCAAACTGGCGTTGGTTCTTGGTAGTCTAGTACAGGGACACTAAAGTTTGGCATTTGATTTAGGAAAACAGTTGTACACAGCTGATTATGTTAAATAAGCTCTTAATTAAGCTCTTTGTAGAAGTCTAATTTGGAAGGTTTTAGTGCTTTGATAACTCAATTGAAATTTTAATTTCTCCTGTACTCAAGAGCTGAATGCTGTTCTTGTATAATAGTGTACTAGGCTGGATGAGGTACAAAATAATGCACAGTGGTCAGAAACAGCTGAGGAAAGAACGCTTAAAATAACTCAATCTAAACTCAGAATAGTTCCAAACATTGGTTTTGTTTGCTTTTTTAAAGCACAAGTTGTCAAGTTGTACCTGTTGCTGTACATAAACACTGTATGCCAGCAGCTCCTTGATCATATTTGTGAACAGACTTTTCATTAATTATTAGACTGGTATTAAAGGAAGGTGTTGAAAGTGTAACAAAGTGAGAAGCGATCAGATGATCTATAGGCTGTAAAAGTCCATTTTTATGTTGTAGTTTAATCCCTTTGTTAGGAAGTTCCCTCTCATTGAGGGACCTCTTCTGCAAGCAGAACACAATAAATGTGCTTTTTTAAATGACCCAATTTCCCAGTATAAATGAACAGCTGACTTTGGCAGTAGTCATCCCCCTGCATCTCTTTGCTGGCAAGGGAGCAGGACAAGGAGGGGGAAAAAACCCCAGAACTGTCACTGATGAGCTGAAACAAATCTGAATAATCAAAATGCCCAAACATAATTCTACACCCCATTATTTAAGGATGCTTGTGGAAGCTTTTAATCACTCAAGATTTTGCTGTAAAAGCTGAAATAAAGCAGAGCCTGGCTGCGTTTCTTACTGCCAAAAGCCAAGGTCATTTGCACATAGTCCATGGATTTCTCCAGAGTAGATCTCCGTTACCCAAGGCATGGGAATGCATGCGTTTTCTTAGCTGGGCAAACAAGTACATTATACAGTAGTTGTGATACAACACACGTGGCTTTGATTTGTACTGCACATACCCACTGTACAGCCACTCCGAAGTATTGTGGTTAGCTTGCAGCATCTGCTGTCGCATTGATACTGTTTACTGCGTATTCTTTTCCCTGGAAGTTTTAAAGAAAATTTTTTTTCTTGTTGCATTGATTACATTTTATAAATTTGCTTAGCTGGAAAGTTTGGGAAAAGAGGCCTGTTTGTCAATTGTACAACCGATTGTGAAGCTCTAGTGTGAATATTTTTACGTCTGTATTAGACATTTTCTTTGCAAATCTATTGTTCGATTGAAATGTAAATGAAATAAAAGATGGTGTACACCCATCATGTATAAAGCAGGCACCATCGCTACGATGGATTTAATGCTCATTTTTATGGCGCATTCTCAGCTTCTATTTAAAACTATAATTTAAAGAAAAAAAAAAAATCTGTAAAAATGAAATGGGGATATATGGGGGAGTAAATTCTATTCCGTTTATTTCGGTTTTGATTCCCAATGGTAATGTTTCCCTTCGTGTTAGAGTAGGGGGGCCCCGGCGGGGCCCGTGTGTCGCTGTAGCACTGACGTGCAGAGGTTGTAGCTTTGGCTGGGCACGGATAGAGCATCCCGGTTCGGTGTTTGAGAGACTCGATGGAAGAAGTTTGCAGTATTGACATGTATTTGCATGCACGAATAAAAATTATTTGTCCACCTTAACGGGCTGTTTGTCGTCAGCGGGGGCTGGGAAGGTCCGGGAGGGAGCGGAGGGAACGGAGCCACTCCGGGGTGGGGGGAGCGGGGCCGGTGCCGTTCCCCGGGAGGGCGGTCCCGCCGTGCCGATGCCGGTGCCGGTGCCGTTCCCGTTGCGGGGCGGGGGCAGCGGGGCCGGGCCCGTCTCCGCCCGCGGCCGCCTCCTTCCCGCCGTGCCCCGCGCGGCGGCCCCGGAAGGCGGCGGGAGCGCTGAGGCGGCGGCCCCGGAAGGCGGCGGGAGCCGGTGAGGCGGCGGGGCTGGGACGGGGGGGGCGGGGCCGTTTCGCTCTGCTCGGGCCGGTGCTGCCGGGCCCCATAGAATGCCGGGCCGGAGCGCGGCTCCCCCGGCGGGCGAGGGGCGGCGGGGGCCCCGGGGAAGGCGCGGGCGCGGTCTCGGCCCGGCGCCGGGGACTGAGCCGGTTCTCTCGGGGCCCGCGGGACTCACCGGCCGAGCGTGTCCCGCCTCAGGCCCGGCCCCGCTGCGGGGTGATCCCGGTAATCCCGGGCCATCTGGCGCTGTAATCGTCTGAATCGGGGTTAGCTCCCGCGGAACCTGCAGCGTTCGGCTGGAAAACCGGGAGCCCGGCTCTGTCCGTGGGCTGATGGAGGGGTCTGGGGCACACGCACGGCCTGGGCTGGCTGCGAGACCCCTGCACGGTCAAGTGTGAGCCCAAATTTGATTTTGAACTGATTTGATTAAAATTTCCTCTTCTAGGTCTTGATTGAAGCTTTTCTCTGAAAGACTGGAAAAGAATACAGGTCAGGAACACTTTAATTTGCTTAATTGCGTTGATAGTTTTTCAGCTCAAATAAATTGTTGTTAAATAGTGCAAATAATACTGAGCAGTTGGGAATTGGCCTGATGGAGCCGTCCAATGAGGCTCTGAGGTTTTAAACTGAGTTTTAAATCGTGTCTTAAGAATTAACGCAGGTGACTGACTGCATCGCGGGCTCTTTGAGAGTGGGCTGTGTTCTCCTGGGGTGAAAACTGCCCTGAGGAAGTAAGGGACCGTTGTGATGCATGCTTGATCAGAAACGCATCCTCTGCTTTTTTAATTTCTTTTTAGAACATAATGACTACTACGGATGATAAACTGCTTGGTGAGAAGCTGCAGTATTATTATAGCAGCAGCGAGGGTGAGGATGAAGACAGTGAGAAGGAGGATAAAGAAGGGGAGAGCAGCATTCCTGAAAGTGTGGGCGAGGTGGAGCTCAGCAGTGATGGCAGCGCTGTCAATACAGGTATCATCATATCAATGTACTTCTTTTGTAAATCCTTTGTTTATTGGAAATTTTGCATGTTCTTCTAAAATTCATTTTTCGAAGTTAAACTCCTGGGTTTATGCGTATTTGAGTCAGAGGGCGATCAATTTCTGGCTGTTGTCTAACCTTATTTTTAATAGCTGTTCTTTTTTTAATGTTTGACTTCTCCTCTGAGAGAATTTAAAATCAGCCCTATATCTGAAGCAGTCAGGCTTTAGATAGAAAGCTGAGACAAGGCTGATTTGTACAATTTGATTGATAATATAACATTATTTTTATTCTGATGAAAGCCATGCTAACAATAGGGGAACTCTTGTGGGATGGTGGTTCTATTTCAAGAGAAATTATATTAATCCTTGGGACAGTTACAAGAGTGGCCTAGTTAAATAAACCGTAGCTTTCTTATTAAAAAAAAATAAATCAGAAACTCAAGGACATGTAGATGGCAAATGACTTATTTCAGTGTTTTGCATAGTTACAAAAACATTTATGACAGGGTTACTGTTTTACTGATTTACAAATTTGATGCACCAATTATTTACTTGATTTAAATGGTAGGTAAAATTGTATTGTGTGATTTTTATAAGAACTGCCTCCACACTTAATTCCAGGTCCCAAGGGAGTCATTAATGACTGGCGAAGATTTAAGCAGCTGGAAACGGAGCAGCGGCAGGAGCAGCGCAGGGAGATGGAGAGGCTCATTAAGAAGCTGTCCATGACGTGCAGGTCTCACTTGGATGACGAGGCTGATAAGCAGAAGCAGAAAGAGCTTGAAGAAAAAATCAATGGAAAGGTAGGATGGCACAAAGGAATTTAAATGCCACTTAAGTATTTAACAGTTTGTTTGCCTGTGATAACAAATAAGTGACAATACCAAAGTAGTCCAAAAGCTTTTTCCAGATTTCTCATCTGTTGAATAAGCAAGTCAACTTCAGGGGATTAATATGAGGAGTTGTACAGCAAAACTATGAATGCTGTCTCCCCTGCCTGAAACTAGGATCCCTTATTAACTTAGTATTTAGTGAGTGGGTGTTGAGTATTCAACTCTGAGCTCCAGAAATTGAAGGCATTGGAGGTAGTGAATGGTTTTAATCAGCTGGGCTGTAAACTAGTCCTGAATTGTAGTCAGAGAAGTTACTAATTTTTTGTGATGTTTGTGCCTTCAGATGATGAAAGTTGGCTGTGCTCTCCTGTATCTTGAGTGATGCAGACAAGTTTAATCAAGCAAGTGAACAGATAGAAAATACATAAAGTCCTGTTAATTTCAATTCTACAGGCACGATACTGCCATAAAATGTTAGCTGAAAAGCTAAATGAAAAGCTGGTGAGAAAGAAGCTCAACTTAGGTCAGGCACAGTTTCCAAGCCAGCACTCCCAGCTCAGTGAAGGCACGTGGCCACCATTAACCTGGATTAAAGTGGGAGCATGGAGCAGCCACTTGTGTTATTAGTGCGGCTTGTGGAAACTGGAATACCCAGGGCTGAAATCGCTGTTCCCACTGGACATGGTTTCTAATTAGATCAGAGTGGAGTGTAATACGCAGGGTGCTTGAGCCTTCATGGGTTGCACTTTACTGTTATTAAAAATGAGTGACCCACATTAATCCTCTGATTTACATTCTCATTATGTAAGTGGCCCATATAGTGGTGCAGATGTTTTTCAGGAATCTCTGTGTGTGTTTTTTAGATGACTTTACAAGAATACAACATGATCCACAATGATGAGGACGATGAGGAATTCTTGCAGCGCTACAGGAAGCAGCGGATGGAGGAGATGAGGCAGCAGTTGTACAGTGGGCAGCAATTCAAGCAGGTCTTTGAGATCACCAGTGGAGAAGCATTTCTGGACACTGTGGACAAAGAGCATAAGAGCACACTGATCATGATCCATATTTATGAAGATGATATCCCTGGCACTGAATCCCTGAATGGCTGCATGATCTGCCTGGCTGCTGAGTACCCAACAGTGAAATTCTGCAGAGTGAAGAGTTCACTCATTGGTGCCAGCACTCGCTTCACTAACAATGCCCTGCCAGCTCTGCTGATCTACAAGGCAGGGGAGCTCATTGGCAATTTTGTGCGCATCACCGACCAGCTTGGAGAAGATTTTTTTGCTGTAGACCTGGAGGCTTTTCTGCAGGAATGTGGTTTGCTGCCAGAAAAAGACCTACTGCTCCTGACTTCTATACATAATCCATCTGCATGTTACAGTGAAGACAGTGATCTGGAAATAGACTGAGCCATTTATGGCAAGGGCCCGTAGGTGTAGTTGTGCTGTGGGATGTTCTTGTGCTAGGGATTGTTCTCTTTCTCCATCGTGTGGGTATGTATTCCTCCCCTTCATGCACTTTGGCTCATCAAAAATAACGAGTTCATAACATTTTCTTAAATTAATTCCATATCTGCAACTAAAACAATCTCATTTCTGCGCAGTTCAAATATGTTTTACTTACCGCGAAGTTCTAACATGATTCAGTCAGTTTAGGAAGTTGTTGTCATGTCTCAGTGTCCTTGCACGTTTCAATTAAGATGTGGCCACCAACTCCCCAAGACAAGAACTGAGACTGCAAATAAAAGAGTTTTAAAAATTCAAGACTTACTAACCTGGTGCTGAGCTGCTCCAGTTAAAAGTGTGAGGTCCCTTGTTCCATTCCGCAATTTGCAGTCTCCTTTCTGGGAGGATCTTGTTCTAATGCCTGGCCTTAAATTTTTGTTCCTTTCTCGCTTACAAATAACGACAGCCCCTGGCTTCATCCTAAAAATTGCTTTTCAGCTGGAGAGAGTTCTTCTTCCCTTCACCTTCCCTGAGACATAAATGCAATTACAGCTCTTAATACATTATTGGGTTTTAAAATACCCATCCTTGGAGTTCAGAGTAGTCACTTGATCAGAAAATGAGCTCTGCCTCTTCAGAGAGACTGCTACAAAGAGCTCCAACACGTGTGCTGAACAGCAACAAAGAGAATTTTGTTGGCAAAGTGCAGAATTAGGACTTGAATAACCTCAGAATTTCATCTCATGCTAAAATTTCTAAATCAGTGCTAAAGTTCTTTTCTGTCTGCCTTCAATAGTAGTAAGTAGACTATCATTACCTAAATACATGACCAAATGTAATGCCATATTTAATTATTAAATTTAATTGCAATTTTTATGTAAAGCATTTTGCAACACCAGGAAGAATTGCAAATGTGTCTGTGGATCTTAATAGGATCTTAATAAGAATGGATCTTGGGCTAGAAAAAGGAGAATTTCTAACTGTATCTATTTGAACTGTGTTTTAAAAAGTAGTATTAGCAGAAAAATAAATAATCTGTAATTTTAAATTACTGAGTTGGCACAGATTGTAGCTGGTTTAAGGAAACGGGCAGAAATCCAGGTTTTCAAATGTGGTGAGAGATTATTTCTTTTCATCTGAGAACTGCAGAAAAAAAAAAGCCTATGTAAGTTATATGAAATTAAATTATTGAGTGTGGATATCAGCACATTTAAGGAAAATATCAAAGTAACTGTAACTCATATCCAGGATGAGATTCAGTAAAGTCTGTTGTGCAGACAGGGTGCATTTTAGCATCATCATCAAACCTCTCTTGGAGAGGGGATCAAGGCAGAGCTGTCTGCTTGAGTTGCTTTGAAGTTTTACTTTTATAAAGTGCTTTTTTTTTTTTTTGCCCCCTATGGCAGCAAAACTGTAACAGGATCAAACCCTCTCCTGCTGCTCTGTGTCCAATGGCCTGGAGCAAGGTGACTCCTGGTGAGGAACCTCCTGTGCTCAGGTGTGGGAGAGGTGGTTTGCAGTGCTAGTAACAAAAAAGGAGAAGAAAAAAGTCAGAATCCAATTAATCATTGATCTGGAAGAATATAACAAGCACAAGGGAGTGAGGGAAGCTGTGCCCTAACCCTGCTGCTCGTTCATGCACAGGCCACACGCCTGAGAGCAGCGAGAGGAGCTGCTGCTGCTTCTGTCCTTTCTTAAAGCTAAATTTTCAAGGAGTTCTATAAATAGGAGTTGAAAAAGCACTTGTCAGGTAGGTGTGTTGCCTCTGGGAAATGTTTTGTTTTGGAATGAGCAGCGCAGTTCAGGGAGGCAGCCAGGAATGACGGGTGTTACAGGCCCTCGTCGTGGCATCACCTGGGTGATTAATGTTGTTAATGATGTTCCAATACAAACAGCAGAGTTTGGGCATGGAATGTGAGGGCACAAGGAAGCACGGATGGTTACTTGGCAAGGGCAGGAGTGAAATCCCAGGATGAGCTCAGCATGGATCTTTAATCGTGGTGCCAGCATTGATGCCAGGCAGTGGCAAGATTTAGCACAGAAGAGATTACAGAGTTTTTCTGACCTCCCATCTGCCTCTTCTTTGCAAAATGTTCAAAACAGACCTTTGCTGAAAATCCAAACAAGGTTTCCTGTGCAGACACTGGTCTGACTGCTGTGGCAGAGGGGCCTGCTGGGGCTGGCTGGGATTGTCTGGAGACTCCTTCCAAGGGGGGATTGCTTTTCTCCCCCTGCTCAGTCACCGCCTCTGAGGCACACAACCCCAGATGGATGTTTTCATTGTTGCTGCAGGAACCCAGGCAACCCCATCTTCCTGTCCCTGTCCATCCCCACCGTGGGCAAGCCTCAGCTGGGCTCCTCAGAGGCCTGTTGAAAAATACAGGGGATGTCCTAAGAGCTGTGTTTACCAGGAGTTCGGAGATACTTCTGGCAGCACTCTCCCCTGCATCGGCCCCAGAGCACAGCAGGGAGCCCTTGGTGTGGTTGGGTGATGCTGGTGGCCACACCAAGCACCACCATGTGTGGATGCAAACACTGCCTTGGATGTGGCTGTACCTTGTCCTGGATGACTTGGTGATGGTGGGAGTGATTTCTGCAAACTGCCATGGCTGGAAAACTAGCCCAGGAAACAGAAGGGCTCAGCAGTGCTGGGCTGGGGGAAGCTCTGTGTGTGGGGCTGTGGGTGCCTGGGCTCCTGGGCATTTCAGTAGTGTGTTGGATGCTGTGTCTGGGGTTGGTACTTCACAGAAACATTTTCAAAGCTTTTCCTGCTAGCAGGAGGGAGGTGCTTTGCTGTCCTGTGCTGGTTGGAAGAGGTGCCAGGTTTGCCAGGGGTGTCTCAGCCCAGCTAGTTTCCAGTGGAACATTCCTCCTTGCTGGCAGAGAGCAGCCAGGCCCTCTCTGTGTGCCCGAGGGGCTCTCGTGCAGTTATCAGCTGGTCCCAAAGCGTTGCTGGCAGCCAGTGATAGCCTCGAGGAAACGCAGGATGTTTGTGGTTTAACTGAAACGAGCCGAGCTCGTGCCTCTCGCCAGATGGAGGGGAAGGGTGCTCGGGGCTGGAGCAGCTCCTCGCCGGGATGGGCGGTCACACGCACAGCTGGAAGTGTGCTCGGCTGGCTGGAGGCACATGTGGGCGGGGAGGGACCGTGTCCTCCTCTTGGATCGCTGCTCAGCACTTCTGCACGACATGGTGGGAGTGGGAGCACTGGGCTGTCCATGTGCCAGGACTGGGTAGGGCCAGCCCAGGGGAGCACAGAGCAGGTGAAGCTGCCTGCTGTGTCTTTGGGGGTTGTGTTTGCCTCTCTGCCTCCCCACATCCCATAGGAAACAAAACTCCTGATGATATCCTGATAATGCCATCCCATTTCTGAAGGGTTAAAGAGAGTGAGTGAGAAGGTTGGTGCCTTGGGAATCTCTGCTTGCAGATGTTCCCTTGCTATGACGTTCTCCTACCGCATCCCTGCCAAGGCACCAGCGCTTTAAACTTCCCTAGTTTAAAATTCCTGTAATTCCCTGGGAATCCTGCTGGGATGGAGCAGGAGCTCAGGAGTGCTCCCCTCCTCCAGGACAGCACAGGAAGGAGCTGCAGCAGCATGCTCTCTTACAGACTCTGGCTTTTTCACGTCTACAAAGCGCACAGGCAACCAGATGTATGTGTTTTTATGTGCTAGAAATACACAATGTTGATCTAAGTGCTGTGTCACTATGGAATTACAGAATATCCTGAATTGGAAGGGACCCACACACATCATCACGGTCCAACTCCTGGCCCTGCCCAGGACAACCCCAACAATCCCACCCTGTTCCTGAGAGCATTGTCTAAACACTGAACTGTGGCATTGGAGCAGCACAGGGCTGGGGGGTGCCCGGAGGGGAACAAAGTTCAAACCACCTCAGGACACTCAGAGACCCCCACAGAAGCACGTAAGGGAGGGTGCTTACTCCATTTATTGCTTCAGGTGCAGTCAGCAATGGCCCAGTGCAGTGCTGGTGAGCACACCCAGAGATAGAGGAGTTTTTAAAATCATTTATTATTTTAAATGACCTTTTTCCTGGAGCTTAACCAGGATCTGATGGGGATCAAGGCCAGTGACAGTGGCTGGGCAAGGGCTGAGGTGTGTTTCGGCAGGAGGACAGAAGCAGGCTCTGTGTGCTGTGAGGATGTGCTTGCTGAGCTGTTAGTGCAGAGAAGGGTGATGATTTTGGGATGGAAGAGGCTCCATTCCTTTATGTGCACAGAGGTAGCATCTCGCTCTGAGCAGCCCCAGGTTGGCAGCCAGTGGCACATGCCAGGGTCCAAGCCAGCATGACACAGAGGTCTGGGGATCTGACCTCATGCTTCTCTCTGGGCTCCTCCAGGAGAGCTTTGGTTCCTTCTCCCAGCTGTGCATGTGTGCTGGGCAGGCTGTTGCAGGAGAATTGGATCAAAACAGGCTTCTGCTGCAAGCTCAGCCACTACTGGGCAGCACAAACACGGTGTCCTCCCTGTCCCTCTGCATGCTGCCACCTCCTCTGCATCCCTCAGGCAGCTCATCGCTTCACCAGGTGCAGCAGGGGAGGAGGGAGTGCTCCCTGGGCTCCTGTTCTGAGCAGGAAAGAGTCTCTATTGGAAATAGGTGGTGTGTGAAGAAAAATTGGACTCCTGGTGAGTAAGAATTAAGTCAGTGCTAACCACGTAACTAAGATGAATTTTTTCCAGTCTTACACTTTTCACTAATTCCCAAACTGGTTTTCAGGCATAACGTGGATATGACCCCTCTGGAAGAAGGGCTGCTGGTGGCCTGGTGCTGGGAGGCATCAGGGATGGATGGTGACAAAGCACTGGGGAGTCCAGAGTGTCCACTAGGGCATTCCAAAGCTGTTTCATGCAAGGTATTCACTATCAGGAGAGCTGAGTCTGATGAGAACAGAGCTGGCAGCCACACTCCCAAGGCACTCGAGTTTTTCAGAGAGCAGGGAGCAGCCTCTCCTCGAGGGCTGGCATGGAGGACACCCAGGGTGGGACCATCTCCTGTCCTGTTTCTGTTCAGCACAGGGGTGGCAGGTTCCTGCATCCCCACCATTCACTGTAGGAAGGAACAGGATACTCAGCACCAGGCTGGGAGCTCAGCTCAGCCTGCACCAGGGCAAGGACAGTCCCAGCCTGGGCAGGTTATCCCTGCTAGAGCTCTGTAGATGATCCACCAGCCCGAGGGCTGCCGTGTTCCGCAGCATCCGGCACGTGGAACGCCACGTACGGGCACTTCTTCACATTGAGGCACACGAGCTTCTTGAGGGATGCCGTCTTAACAATCTCAAAGCCGGTTGCTCCACCAAATGTGCTGGGTTTCCAGTACTCTGGGGAGCAGATGGGATTTCCAAAAAGCCCCTTTAGGGAAAATGGAGCTCCGATCTCCACCATGCTTTCCCCAAAAATGCTGTTGGGTTGGGGTTTCTCAAGCAGCAAGCCTGGGTAAAACTCCAGAGCATCAATGTCTCCATACAGCTCTTCCAGTTCTGCTGCCTTTTCTTCCTCTCCTGTACCAAGTGAACAGAGTGTTTTAGCAAGAGAATCACACCTGGCAAGGACTGGCCTTGCAGT